GTGGCCACAGGCTTGTCGAACTAGATGTCTATTTGTTTTTGCAGTCCTTCTTCACATAAGGCCACTTCTGGATTGTGATGCTGTCATACTAAAGGCCTTCCATTTATAAATAATTCGTCACATGGTGCACTCCAAATCATTTTGATAGCTTTTTATAGCCCTCTCCACCATTATAGGCTTCAACTATGTGATTTTTTAAAGCTTCAGGAAATTCTTTTGATTTTTTTCTTTTTTTTTTTTTTTTTTAATTTAGTCTCTAACTGCACCCTTTTGCATACACAAAAAATATTTGCACTGATAACCATGTAAAACAAAATTACAGAGTGTAAATCTAAGGGTTCACTTTTTCACATCTTAATTTTTAATATTTTTATTCCAGCTTGATAAAAATTTTTGAAAGTGGTTGTAATTTGCTTAATAAAGATTTTCCTATAGTTTAATTAAGATTTGTTGTTTAACTGTAAAAAATTTTTTTTTTTTTTTAATATTAGTGGTTCACTTACTTTTGTGCAGCACTTATATATATATACACATACACAATGCAACTGAGAAAATAAGTGAAAATCACAAAAATTTTACATGTATTTTTTTTTTTTTTTTTTTTTTAAAGATCAGAACTTCTGCCAAAATTTACTAAGCTTGTCTTGATCTTGCACAAGGACACATGTATGGGTTGCCCAATGAATATTTAACACATTACAGTGTTGCTTGCTAACCACATTTTAGGTGCTTCCACATTGATGAACGTTAAAATGTGGCCAATATAAAAAGAAATTAAATACTACTTTTGTCTCATAATAGTGAATGAATTGTGTATATAATGTAGGTACCTCCACTGATTCACTAAAAAATTAGTATACACGATAAAACAAATGCCCCTAAACTAAATAAGTTTTATTGCCAAAATCTTTATTATTATTGTGGAAAGACAAAAAGATTTTTTATAATTAAATTATATTTTTTTTTATCCTTGTTAGAACATTCAAAATTTTGATTACAAATCTTGTTTTTCTTGCATCAGTGAGGGAACCAAAGATTAGTATAGGAAATTTTAGTGTCTTTTTTGCAGTGAAAAACATTGATTTAGAAATTCTTGCAAGAATCAAATAATTGATTTTAATGAAACTTTCAAGACTTATTCACAAATGAATTAAATTATTTTGGAAATGATTCCTTTTTTTTTTTTTTTTTATTTTTTTAGAGAAGATCTTGTTTCCCCCCACCCCACACAAGCACACATTTAATTTTATGAAATTTTGAGAAATTAATTTTTGTATCACTTAATATTTATATCAGTTATATGCAAAACTCTATGGAAAATTTAAATCATCAATTATTTTTTTTTTGTAAAACAGGATCTGAAAATCTGCTCTGAATCGTAAAATAAAAAATGCAATAAAACTAAGATATTATTTAATTAGAAAAACTTTTAACTGATTTAATGAATAAGATATATTATGGACACTATTGTCTTAAGTAAAAAAAAATTTTTTTGATGATTAAGGAAATTTTACAAGAATTGTTTTTATTTTATTTTTTTTACTTTTTAAAAAGAATTAATTTATAGCTTTAAATCTTTTAAATTTCTGTATTAATTTGTACTGGTTAAGTGATATTGTTATAAAATAAAAACTTTATTTCCTAATCATAAATGGAAAAGCTTATTACAATTCATTGACTCTCAATATTTTAAAAAGAATTGTGAATTTTTTTTGTGTGTGAATAAACGTGCCAGTTTTTGTAAATACAGATGTCCATACACAACATTATCAAAAAAATAAGTGATAACTATAGTAAATTTAAAACCAACATACCTAAAATTCAATAAAACATTACATATTTTCCTAAATTTTTAAGATTACTACTATATAGTTAAAAATTATATTAAAAAGGTATTCACATTTCTCAAGTAATTTTTGCAGATATGTCCCTTGTAGAAAAAATTAGATAAACTTCCATCTGCCAGTCAAGCTTCAACCTGTCAACACCTTAAATAAACACCTCTGCTGTGTTAAAAAATGTATTTCTGCAATATTTTAAACTTACAGTTAGTAATATTTGTTTCAAATCAGAGTAATTAAATTTTAAATCGGTTAATATTCTTCAAATAAAGTTTCAGGAAAGTATATTTTATTTTTGAAAGGCTTTTTAATAAAGAGAATTACATTGTGATGAAAGATGGTTAAAATTGGCTCTAAAATTAGCAATTTTTAGTGATTTCATTCAATTTAAATTAGTTTTGAAATACAAAAAGTATTTTTCATATTAGAAATATTAAATTTAATTTATTAGCTTAAAGTTAAAATAAAAGCTTCATTTAAAAAAAATTCATTTTAAACCTTAGCTATCGTGTTTCCCTGGAGATACTTAATATAATATTGTAGCAACTGTTGTGGAATGAAGGTAATAGTTTTTTGGTTTTTAGGCTGACATTTTACTTAAGTAGGAAAATTTATAAAGTGTTGTTTAAGTTTATAAAAAATTAAATAACATAATTTATCTCTTTTTAACATTGTGATAATTAATTTATGATAAAATCCTGTTTAATTAAAGAATTTTTCTTTTTTCATCTTTCTAAATAGATTAATAATCAATTACAAACTGTGAGTTTTAAAGTTATGCATTCCTTTTATTTAATAATAAGGTGACTATTAATTACTTCTATCATTTTTACTGAATATGAAAAGTTTCCTGCTTGATTCTCTATAAATTAAATATTCTTCCTGTATATATGACATTTGATAATCCAGGCTCTTTAAGGAGTGATTGTACCCAACAAGTTTTGGTAAAAATAAACTAGTGCTAAAACATGTAGTAAAATTATTTGAAATGACACAGTAACCATCAATAACTTATGGTTCAGTCAATAAGTCAGTTATGTACCATGCGGGATACACACTTAGGCAATCATGTATCTTTCGATGCATGACTGACAAGGCAGATTTTTTCCTGCAATAGGTTGCCATTTCTTTCTATGGTAGACCAGTTGCCATCCAAGGCTAGAGGACCCGGTCTGTACTGATACTTACCCATAGCTGGGGAGGAGAAGAAGAGGATTCATACCATTCCCAAGGGTATTAGCATGTAAGTGAATAATAGATTTGAATGGAATTCAAACTCGGCTCTCAGATTCCTCAATCCAAGAAAAAAATTAAAAAAAAAAAAACAATCAATAAGGTAATTACAAATTTTATTTTTGGGCATGCTCTCAAAGTTACCTATTTTAACCTGTTTATGCTATGAACCTTGTAGATTATGAATAATAACAATTTAATTGTAGAAATATTTGTCCTGGGTATGACAATAAATTACATCCGGCAGCAAGGCCTTTGATTGGGATATTGGAGGTTTTGAGGAGCATGGAACCACCTTTTAATTGTTGTTGTTTCCTAGTTCACTCTGACCTGGGGTATTAGCACCTGTTAGTGTTCCAGCTATGGACAAATAGTTAACCCTCAAACTGCACTTAAACACTATGAAAGGGTAAAAATGCACTTCATAATAAAAAATAAAAAAAATTCATGCTCCCAAGAAAATTAAATTTTAGCATTAAATGACCCATAAAGAGTTGATATGCTGCGAAACAAACAAACAAGTGAACATTAGAAATATCAATTATATAGTTGCTTTTTCTACTTTCACTACACTCTTCATTTCTGTACATATATGTATAATTATTAGACCAAATTGAAAAATGAGAAGTGAGCAGTCTTTAATTTCTGGATCATGTGCCTGACCAGATAATTTCTGTTTACATTTTGCTTTATTTATACTTTGTCATTTTATGTGGCATCTCCCTTTATTCTATTTTATTCTATTGGCTTACTTCTTGTTACTTGTCATGTTATTGGTCTTAATGTGAATTGGCAGAGATTACTTCTGTTCATTGTGTTTTGAAGATAATGTAAATAAATATCAAAAAATTAAATGCAATTTCTGTCTGTTAATCAAATATTGATTTCCTACCAGAATGTTTTTCATCTTTAAAGGAGTAAATGACATGCATACCTGAAAAACATGTTCATGTTTTAATGATTTTTCTTAATTTCTATTTTTTTTTTTTTAATTCTACAACATATATACACATGTCTGCATATATTTAGAACTGAACTGATTACCAATCCAATTTATTAAGCTTGATTTAAATGTAAAATTTTCTCTGGTTACAGACATATTCATCATTTCTCTTAAAATATTTTGTTCAATATTGACATGATATACTGACAGATTATTACTTTACATTTTGCAATGATCTGAAATTTATCATAAAACAACAATCAGCTCATCTAGTTGAATAAATCTCTGTTGCCTTTTTCGTTTTATGCCTTGAAGCAAAAACATGTTGAAAACATTTACATTTGTGATATTTGCTCAAGAAAATTAAAAAAAAAAAATTGTTTTAGAATTAGTAGAAAGTATTCAATATTATTTTTAGACTTTAGTTATAGTTACTTAAAGCAGTTGTCTTAAGGTCTCCATTTGTTTTCATAGCACAGCTGGATCATCAGCCAACAAATTCAGGTCAAGCAATTACTTATTCACCTGCTCAACAAACTGGTATTTTTTTTAGAGACATTATGTTTTAAACTATTTTAATATATCTTCTTATTTATCATAATACTTGGACAATGGAGAACCAGGTAACTGAGGACAAAGTTTGAAAACTTAGGATGGAGACTATAAAATAATGATAATAAATTATTATGATATCACAAATTGGTCAAAAGTACAATATAGTTTGAACTTTCAGCTCACAAAGGTCATTTTCAACATATATTTACTCTAAGCCTATACTGACTGTATGTTGAAGGGAAACAATGTTCTGTTTAAATGTTTTAATTGGATGAAAGTCCACAAAATGAAAATGTTTTAGAAATTAAGTATACTAAAAAAAGGTTCACCATTAGCCTGTAGAATGTTGATGTAGTTATATACAGAATATAAAAGAAATCTGAAAAGCTTTCTTTTTTATTTTTGATTTGTTTGTGTTGTTTTTGTAGACTTGAAACAAAGGTTCTTTCTCAGACAGACCAAATTGAAGTAATTAAGATGGAGAGGAATTCCTACCGTAAAGAATTGGACACGTGCCAAGGAAATGATTTATACTTGCCACAGATCAAAGCAGTAAGCTATATTTCTGATTTTGTAATTTGCCACAAATTTATATTGTTAGCAGATTTAGGTTGATGTGAGATAACTCTCAATATAAAATCATATAGCTTTATAACTAGAGCATGCATTTAATTTTGCAATATTCACCTTTATCTTAAAGAAAACATTTCTCTTAATTTTCTGTCCTGGTACTATTCTCTGATGATCATTCTGAATGAAGGTCAAAAATAGAAAAAAAAAAAAACTAAAAGAAAGACTAGAAAAGTTTTGGAATGATATTCTTCAGGAATTATGCCAAATGTAGAATGTTCATAAAAATATTCTCTGTTCAGTGGAAAAAATGAGCAATTTTTAACTGAAGAATAAAAAATATGAAAATTGTTATAGATGATGCATAAAGATTAAAAGAAAAATTAAAAATTTATTTCTCAATAATTGTTTTTTTATGCAATCAATAATCATTTGTGTTTAAGAAATGTTGCTTGAGATGACTTCTATATTTGTTTTGTTAATAAAGCTTGGATACCAAAGTTATAATGTGAAACTCTTTATTATTAATTATAATGAGGTGAATTAGTGAAGTAATAAATCTTTTTCATTCATCTTGTGTATTCTCCTACCAAATTTTTTTTTATATTTAAATTTATCATACTGTATTTTAATATAAGCACAAAGGAAGATTGGTAAAGTTACTATTCACATTTTAGACTTCTTCCCACTAAGTAACTATATGCAAAAGTTAAAAAAAAAAAAAAAATGTTTTCCACTGTGTCTTAGTGAAAACACTTACACACATTGAATATTTTGTTATATAAAATATTACAAGTTATAATTTTTTGTGTAAACCTGTAATGTTATTAGTTCTAACCTGGCATATCAGCTTCAATCACTTTCCCACCACTGTAACATCGTTTCCCCATGTCTTTTCTTTAGATAATTTCATGGTAATTGTTCTGATCAGCTTTCCTCTTTGGTACTTGACTTCATGAATTTAAGTGTAATATTAGATTGGCAGTTAGTTGGTTTCTTCATTTTACTGTTGAAATTGATAAATGTAACCATAATTTCTATTGTAATAATTTCTTCTCTCACACTTCTCGCCTGTAGTTTCTTGCTTTCCTGTCAACTGTAATCTTCAAAAGTTTAAATACAACATCAATCATCATCTGTCTCCTTGAATCTTGTGCTTTTTATCGTCCTTTTTCCTAAGTATATTATTTAAGTTTCTTTCACTCACTTGCATCTTAGTGGCTATATCACCTTGATTCACAGTCAAATGATAAAAAAAAAGAATGAGTTATATGCAAAACTGAAGTGACTAACAATAATGTTTTATTAAATTATGAATATAAGCCTTATATATTATTTTTGTGGAGTAGATCTCTAGTTATGAAACAGAAAAATAGAAAGGTTCAACCTCCAATTTTAGTTCATAAAACTTCATTAACTTCAGCTGATAACATACCTTGAAGAAAAACACTTTTTGTTTCTCAATTATAATAACCTTGGTAATATAATATACCACATACTTCAAAAAGTGAAACCTGTGTCCAGCTGCATCAAAGCAATTGATGACATCATTCAGAATTAGCTTAAGGACAATCTTTAATCTTAGTGTCTGTAAAAAAAAAAAAAAAACAGTATGTGACAGTTTTTCCCTTGGTACTGCTATTATATTAACTACTTTCACTCATCAGTATGATTATTGTCTTAAAAAGCGATGATTAGAATTGTAATAAAAACTGAACATATGATGAAAGTGAATTTATACATTTTTTGTTCTCAAGAATTTACAACAAAAATATTAAACACTATTTATTTATTAGATTTTTTATTTACAATTTTATTAAAACTAATGCATCATTTATTATTTACCAATTTATAAAAAATAAATATGAGACAATTTTTATTCATAAATTTATAAACATTTATTAAATTATTAAAATATGTGAACCAACTATAAGGAAATCATTACTTACCATTTTATAAAGTTCGTATTGATTGGCAATTAGCTGGTTTTGGCAACTATTGTAATAAACAATATAATAAATAAATAGTGTAAATAAACAATCTAATAAATAGTGTTTATTATTTTTATTGTCAATTCTCAAGAAGAAAGAAAATGTATAAATTCATTTTCACATGCTTAGGTTTTATTAAGATTCTTATCAACTCTTTTTAAAACAATAAATATTGCTGAGGAATGCTTGAATAGCTGTGTCAAGGAAAAAAAAACTATCCTTTTGATGCACCATTCTTTTGCAGGCACAAAGATTAAAGATTGCCGGCAGTGAACCATTCTAATTGAATTTGACTGCATAAAAATCTAGCACCACCAACCTCATCAAATATGTACTTTGGTACAGTTCATAATCACCAAAGTCATTGGTAGATCTCTGATAATGAAACATTTTGATAATAACAAAACGATTTACTATAGGTAAGCTTTCCCAAAATTAAACATTAAAATATTCTTATTATTGTTAACCATTTTGCAAGATTCAGCAAAGTGATAACATCCATCCATTGATTAGTGCATCTTCTTTTTGCTTTACTGTACGCTTATACTTGGTTTTTACCTTCATAAATTTTGTCCCAGGTATGGTGATAAACTACATCTGTGTCCTGGGTAAGACATTAAACAGCAATGCCTTTGATTGGAGGTTTGAGGAGTGTGGAACCACCTCTTAATTGTTGGTGTTCCCAGGTCCACTCTGAGCAGGGGTGGTAGCACCTGTTAGGGTCCCAGTTATGGGCAAATAGTTGACCCCCAAACAGGGGTCAAAACGCTGTGGAGGTGTAAAAATAGGTATTAATACCAGCAATACTTTTTTGATGGAAAAATTATTACCAGCAATACATTTTGGGGGAAATTTTTTTTTTACCAGCAATACATTTTTGAAGAAAGAGTTATTGTCAGCAATATAGTTTTGAAGGAAAAATTATTATTGGGATATAATTTTTGAAGGAAAAATTATTAACAACAATATATTTTGTAGGAAAAATTATTACTGGCAATGCTTTTTTTGAAGGAAAAATTATTACTGGCAATGCTTTTTTTTGAAGGAAAAATTATTGCCAGCAATACCTTTTTAAAGGAAAATTATTACAAACAAAATATTACCAGCAATACATTTTTGAAGAAAAATATTACCAGAAAAAGATTTTTGAAGGAAAAAACATTACCAGCAATACATTTTGGGGAAGAAAAAAAAAGGAAAAAAGTGATATTACCAGCAATAAAAATTTTTTCAGCATTAAATAACCCATTGAGGTTGATATGCCATAAAACAAAATAAACCAAATCAATCTAAAGCAAAGAATACATATTCTATTTATACGAATCTATCCTAAAAATGTTGTTGGCATTAAATAACCCATTGAGGTTGATATGCCAAAGAATACATATTGTATTCATACGAATCTATCCTAAAAGTTTTGTTGGCATTAAATAACCCATTGAGGTTGATATGCCATAAAACAAACTAAACCAAACCTTCATAAATTACCTATATTGTTTTGAAGATTTTTTATGGTTAGTAATGATGTCTGTTTGTGTTAGAATCTTATTTTGACAAGAAAGTAAATACTGCTTGTTATACAGACACTATAATTGCTGACAGGATTATGACTATTTTAACTGGTTCTTTAGTAGACACATTTGTCATTATTTATATTAATAAATGAGCCTCTTATGCAAATACAGGCAAATAACTTTCTGTCGTTATCAATATATACATATCAGATTTATACTCATAATAGTCTCAAACACGTAGATAGTATATAAACATACATATTTATATGTAACTACTTACCTTCCAATATATATGCATACATTTTAAGTAGTCTATTCCAGATAATCTTTTTTTTTTTTTTTCAGTATTCTGCTACCATCTATATATATATATATATATATATATATATATAATATGCCATGTGCATTTGTATTTTTTTTTCTGTAATTTTTTGCTAGTACTAGAGTTATCTTCCTTACACTGGTTGTACCAGGTGGAAGTGTCTTTGTTATTTCAATGGCAGACTGTTTGAGGATGTTTATATAGATGCGAGGTGAATAGAATGACTTCATGAAAAGCAGTAATATTTGAAACAATATTTAAAAAACTCGTATGTAAAAAAATAATAGGGCTTAAGAAAATATCTATTTTACATATGTTGTAATTTTTGATGACATGGATAAGCTAACATTACATAAAGCTGTTAACATTTTTAATAAACAGCAGATTCAAATTTGTAATGGTGTCCAATGCTTTCTGAATGTGTATCATCACAATTGTCCTGTGTGAATATGCATTTTAGCTTTAATATATTCCTTGGAAACATGAAAATCTGAACAAACTCTTGAAAGTCCAGAATGAAAAGGAAAATGTTTGAACTTAAGAATACTCTTGATCATTTTTAAAAGAACATATTTCATAAAGTAATTTGAAAATATATAAAAATTATGGTATATTTATACTTCTTTTTGTTAATTTAAGGAAATAATGAAGCTAGTAATAGCAATTTACATTTTACAAATTTTGTTTATGTAATTTTTTGTATGCTACACATTTATTAGTTAAACTTCTAAAGTATTCCTTTTTTATTTCTTATATAAAATCTGGAAGATAATATTTTTTTTCTTTTTTCAGTTGGAGAATAGCCTTGTTCAGAAAGATACTGAAATCCGAGCCATGAAAGACAAATTAGCTGCTCAAGAGGTTACTGCCAAAAGGACAATGGCAAATATGCAGAGTGAACACAAAGCCCAAATGGACCAGGTTAATATCAATGCTTGCAAAAGCCAAGAAATAAAAACAAAATATTATAAATTGTATATATTCAAGACTGTTAATGAAAATAACTGTACCTAAATATGACTGAAATTTACAAATTTTATATTTGTATTTAAAAGAAAAAAATCTCTATATGCTGCTGTTAAATCTCATGCTATGAAGGCATTGAGTCCACAAGAGTCACTTTGTCCCTCCAGTTCTTGCAGTATTGGCAGATCATCAGAACATCCTCCAGCACCAGATTAATCTGCTGGTGATCCTGGCAGATGATATAAGTTCATCTACAGTTTGCAGCTGGCAGGTCAAACTGGTAGATGACTTTGGGAGGGTGGTCATCAGGCCATTGCAGAACGGGACAGAGCCTGTTCTAACAAACTACTTAGATTGTTCAGTTTTTGCTGTTTACTTAATAAAAAGAAGTGAGCTTAAAATTATTCAGTAAATAAATGTAATGAAGCAACATATCTAAAACTGAGAGGAGGAGTAAGTGACGAAATAGTGAAGACACACAGAATGTTTCTTTATTTTGATACTCAGTACTGTCTCATACTTTGATTGTGTTGTTGACTTGCAATATCAGTGATTTAATAATTACTGAATGAATTATGACTATAATATATATATATATATATATATATATATATATATATATATATATATATATATATATATATATATATATATATATATATACTTCTCTTAAAATTTTGGTTCAATATTGACACAATATTAACAGATTTCTACTTGACTTTTTGCAGTTATATTACAAGTTAATGTCAGTGAGTTAAACACTGAAAAAAAAAAAAAACTTTGTATGTAGTAATATATGTGTGTGATTGTATTGGTCTTTCATGTTTGTCTGCATATTGAATACATTTTTCTTTTTATAGAACATTGTCAACAACAGGTCTTGCAACTTCAGTAGTTCAATTGCATTAAATAAAATACTTTGATGGATAGTTAATGTGATATTTAAGTGAAGTGAATTAACATTTCAGTTCATCAGCATTGTATGTGCTTTGTAACATTTTTAATTTTAAAAAGAATAAAGAAGAATATTACTCAGAATAATTTTAATATTTTGGGTTTATGTATACTTTATTTGCTATGTGTAATGTTAATTTGCCTATGGCCATATCACATTGAAACACCAGTTCTCATATGATCCCTGAAGTTAAGTGAATCCATCTCTTCTTCCTCTAGTTATGGATTAAATAGCAGGAAAGACTGGGAACTCTAGCCTTGGTTGGCAATCAGTCTACTGCAGAATATAGTGGCAACCTACTGTGGGAATTATTCTGCTAAGTCAGTCATGAATCAAAAACAGATGATTGCCCAAGCATGCATTACACATGGAAAGAATCTTAATTTAAGTTTATATTTTAAATTTTCAAATTTAATTCAGTGGGATATTAGCAACCTGGTAGGTGGAAGATTTAAATTTTGAAATTTTACTTGATACTTACAAAAAGGGAAATTCTTGATTTCTAGCCAGAGCTAAGTAAAATGTATAAAGCATCAGATTATGAAAATATGTGATTTGCTAATTAAAAAATGAGAATAGTTTTATTTTTATTATTATTTTTTATTTAGTATAATATAGTAACAACTATAAGTAGAAGCTTATGAAGCTTTATTTGACTCATTCTGCTTTACTGCTGAAAAATGTTTATTTTATTGTCATGGATAGTTACTATCTATCACAATAAAATAAACATTTTTCAGCATTGAAGTGAGAAAGGATACACTTGTTTTATTACCACATTTAGTAACAATTATAATTGAGGTTAATTATACAGGTTGAGTTTTAGTTTAGTTTAATTTTAATTTTTTTCATAAAATGTTATCAGAAAACATAGCTGTACATTCGTTTGATAATAACTTGTTGGGAGGGCGCTTCAGCATGTTGTTATGGTTAGCGAGCTTGTCTTGCTAGATCAATTACAACTGAGTAGTGAGTTTGATCCTAACTAGGTGCTTTACTCTTTCGGCCTTAGAAAATTATAGAGCACTTGTGGTGTAATAATTAGCAAGCTTATCTTGCTAGATCAATAATGACTGAGTAGTGAGTTTGATCCTCACTGGTTGCCTCTTAATTTTGGCCGTGCACCACATTTAAGCTATGCTTAGAAAACCACCATAGCAACTTGTTGGTAAGATAATTGGTAATAAAACTTTTCTTTTATTGGATAGTTGTTTTTGTCTAGTGGTATATGAACCTCTGTCAAAATCTAAATATTTTGTACACTATTTCTGGAGATAACAAGGCTATAGTAATATAAGTCTTGCTAATTAACCCACAGCTGGGGGAGAAGAGGTGGATTCATATCTTTCTCAAGGGTATTTGCATGTAAGTGAATATAATGAACCCAACTGGAACTGGCAAATCCCATAAATCCAAGCTTACAGCACCTGGTATTCTTAAGTGGTCACCCATCTAGGTACTGACCTAGCTCAACATGGCTTGACTTCAGTGATTGTATGGAAACTAGGGTTTCAACATGATGTGGCTATAAGCCTTTTCTTTTGTCACTGCTTGTATTAGGTTGTATCATAATTTCCATTTTTGTTTATTTTTCAAAATATTACAACTGTTTTCCAAGCATGGAAATTACTTATGACTCAACCTAATATTTTCATGTTGTTGTGGTAACTAACATATTCACTTCATTATTTATACTATTTATAAGTTGAACTATTGTCTTCATCTTCAATTTACCTTAAATTAATAATTTACTTTTCAAGAGTAATACTGTACATTTTTAAAATTTCTACATTGATTAATCCACTAAAAGTATTTCTCTATTTAAATAAAAACATTTTTTTTCTCTTATGCAGATGGCAAAAATGTGTGAGGATAGCAAACGAGAGAAGGAATCAATGGTCATGAAATTTGCTCAAGCTGAGCATAAAGGTCTTGACATGCAGAAAACAACAGAAAAACTTGAGACTCGTCTCAAAGATGTCCTCAAGGATAAGGACATCCTTTTGGGTAAATTGAGCAGTCTCCGAGCAGAAAGGCAAAAAATCGTTTCACGATTGGACAACAAGGTAAGAAACTATTTTCATCAATCCTGTGTTATTATTTTGTAATCTAATATACTTGAACTTTCTCATATTAAAAATTTCTAAACAAAATTGTATATACTTCGTTATCTAATGATCATGAAATGATATGGAATATGTACTTAGTGTAAAATATATGAAATGTAAAATCTTTTGAATTTTATGTAAATAAAGATTAATTTTATTTTTAAGTTTGAGGTTGCAAAGCTTAAGAAATAATTATTATTCCACTAAATTTCACAAAAATCACACCATGCCACTTATATATTGGCGAACCACCCACATTCTCTCTGTATTCCACTGGTGAGAAGTATCTTTTTCCTGCAAACTACTGCCCTGTGGAACTGACTCCCTACTGAGTGTTTCCCTGATCACTACAATTTTAACCTGTTCGAGGTTAGGGTTAACCGTTATCTTCCACTCCTATACACACAAATGACCTCCATATATAACCCTCTGCCACAAGTGGCCCCCATGCCTTGTAAATGGGGAACCTTGCTGCAAAAAATAAATAAAGAAATAAAGAAAGAAAAAATAATATTTCTGGCTTTACAATATTTCTGAGGAACTCTATAGAAGGACAGGCAGACAAGAATATGTCCTTTGGTATTAAGAAAAATAGGTTACAATAATCCTGATCATGTCCAATGAAAGAATAATTAAAGTTGCCTTGAGATAGACTCCAATTAAAGAGGGATAGAGGCTGGCCATAAAAGACCTGATGGAGGATGGTGATGACAGCATTGAAATAGATGAGTTTCTCATGGAGTAAAATACAAGGTTTAGTAGAAGGGTATGATTGTGGTCTTAATTCAGAGTTGGGGAAAAGAGGATACTAACATAATAACTAAATTGATATAAAAAAAAAATGAATAATGTTTTTTCTCTGATTTATGTATCTCAACTGCATCAGGTTGAAAGAATAAATTTGATCTTTCAAACTGCTGATTCATTTATTTTTATTTGATTCACATGAATGATTTATTTGTTATTTTTGGCTTAAATGAAAAAATTTGAATCTTAATGCACACATTTTTTTTTTTTTTTTTAAGGCATCAGAGTACGGCTCTCTGCAACGGGAGCTAGAAAAGCAGAAAGAGCTTGTCTCAACCATTGAAAATCGCATGAAATGGACTCAAAATAAGCTGTCTGCTGAAATTGAGTCGCATAAGGTAATGTTTTTTTAAAAGAAAAGAAAATGTTTTTATATATATATATAATTTTGATTACCATTAATAAATTTGTTTAATGGCAAAAAAGTCTATCTTTATTAGTTAGGTAAGTTTAGTAGGTTTCATTATCCATCTTGATAGGAACTGTACATATTTACTAAGTTTAACTTAATCTAACACAGAGCCACAAAAGTTATACTTAGTGAGGATTGAACAAGCAATTGTTTGCAGCACTAGCTTGTTAACCAATACATTACAACAGGCACTCTTCATAAAAATTACAGTTGTTTTTTTTTTGTTCTCCTATTCACATGATGTTGATGTAAAAAGTTCCAGTGCCATCTTAGCACAATGTTAGGGACATCTTAGAGTGTCTTTAAATTTTTTTTCAGTTCTTTATTGTTTGTGTATGTTTTTTTTTTTTTTTTTTTTTTTTTTTAAGAGTTGTTTGCAGATAATTTTAATTTATTTTGGTGAAAATCATGGCTGGATATAAAAGGCACATTTGACATTGTTTACTCTTAATGATTAATCCTGGGAAAAGTTAAGAGAAAGCCAATTAAGGGATTACTGAATCTAGTGCTAATATGTTGGGAATGGTTTGCAAAGGAGATTTTGAGCTCAAGAAAAAATAATCTCTCAAAGACTTCTGTACTTAAAAAAATAATGAATTGGAATTTTTCAATGAAGTTAAAACAAACAATATATGAACTTACAGAAAGATTAAAGGTAAATTAGTCAATGTGCATTAGAAAAGAAAGACCTTTTTCTGAATAAGGAAATTGACATGGTAATTTTTCTATATGGCAATGCCTGTCCTCATATTGCAAATATGGCACAGCAAATAATCATGCTTTAGACCTCTCACCTTTAAAGTATGACTTGTTTCACTGCATGCAACATCATTGTCTGGTCAGCAGTTTCAATAATTTCAAGATATTGAAAAAAATTCTTATCGGATTGAATCAAAACCAGAATTATTCTTTTATGATGGAATACACAATTTACAGGAAGGGTGGTGGAAGGTCTTAGGAAAACCAAGGAAAATATGTTTATAATTGAATTATTATGTTCTAAATGTGTATGAATAAAAAATCTTGTCAGAAAATGTTAGACACTTTTTCAGCATCAGCAGAATATTGTGATTATCTAAGCTTAGATGTGGCACAAGGCCAAAATTATGGGGGCAACCATTGAGGATTGAACTCGCTACTCGGTCATAAATGATTTATTGAGACAAGCTTGCTAACTATTATACCACATCAGAGTGCCCAAGCATCAGCACAATATTTGAGATTCTAACACTGTTTTTCTCTAAAGAAAATGTAACCACATATCTAGTCATTCATTTTTTTTTATAGTATAAAGTAAAGATTTTCTTTCATTATTATTGTGGTGTGGGACTTTGGGGTTAAAATGAACAACAGATTTACCCACGCCAAGAAGGTTAATGGAGGCAGGTGACTAGGAAACACGGATTATTTTTAACAAAACAAGCTAAGGAATTTATTTACGAATTTACATGCTCAAAGTTGTGTCAGTGGCTTGTTTCAGGAAAATAAATCGGAAATTTTTGAAGTCTGTAGTTTCAATAAATTGTCATGAAGAGAAAATGTTCGTACAACAGATTAAATCATCTGGCACAAAACAATATTAAAAAATGTTCAAAATGTTTGTTGTTCACAGAAGTGATATACAGTTTGCATACGTTCAAAAGTAGATGAAGAGAGATAGTTTGAAATACTTATCTTTCTTGGATTGTTCAAATAAAGTTCTTTGAAGTGCCAAGTGCTTTGTTAAGGCCAGTAATATAATTAGTGAGTAATTTGACACTGGCATTTATCTGAACACTGGACACATGAACAGAAATGAAACTTTTTCACATGACTTCAGACTTTTCTCTCTTGTTAATTTTTTTTTCTTATTTTAAATGAAAAAGGATTTTGCATATGTTCGCTATTTGATTTTCTTTCTTTTTCTAGGCTCAAAGGCTAATTCCTGTGAAAACAAAGTTTTTAGTGGTCAAAACAATTTCACATAAGCTCACAAATTTGTTTTTGTCTTTTTCTCAGTTTGCTGACCAATCTCTGTGAAGTTTTCATTGGTCCAAAGAAAATTTCACATAGGTTCATGGATTTCTTTCGGTCTTTTTTCTCAGCTCACCTGAATTTGAAGGGAGTGGGTAAAGAGAGTTATTATTATTTCATACTCACCATGGTGGAGTAATGGATAAGCGGCTCTGATTGAGGAATCAGAGAGCCGAGTTTGAATTCCAATCAAATCCATTACACTCACTTACGTGCTAATATTCTTGGGAAAGGTATGAATACTCTTCTTCTTCCCCCCCCCCCGGCTATGGGTAAATAGCAGGACAGAGCAGGTTCTGTAGCCTTGGATGGCAACTGGTCTACCGCAGAAAGGAATGGCAACCTACCATGGGAAGAAATCTGCCTCGTTGGTCATGTATCATGCATGGAAAATAACTGACTGACTGACAGTATCATTATACTTTGATAGTAGATATAATGATCATATTTTGTTATCTCCAGATAATGTGACAAAAGAAAATCATTCTTCGTTAATATTAATGAGACGATACAATATCTTTTATTTTTTTTGCCATTTCTATTAACTTTTAAACAAAGAGACCATTTTTTTTTTTTTATCTTGTCAAATTTGGGAAACATCAAAGATTTTCAGAGCAGTGCTTGTGCATAATTATCTGGTAAAGTTGTTTGACAATGTTGTTGGCTTTCTGCTGAGTTCATAGAAATATTCTTTGTATTTGCAGGAAACAAAAGTCATGCTGCAAACAGCTAACACGAAACTGAAGGAATCCAAAGAAGAGTGTGAACAGATACGAAGAGATTGTCAGGATATCATCAAAACCTATCAGGTTTGTATGCTTTTCAGTTTTCTCTGTGTGAGTCAGTTTTTTCGAATCTAAAGTAGTAATATATTATTTTGTGTTCTCAAGTCATTTAATCTGCTCTGTTCATGAGATATAACACATAAAAAGATATTGATATTTACTTGCAGTACATATTGAACAACATTGTAAAGTAAGTCACTCAGTCCTACTTGGGCTTGTTCCATAGATCATACTGTTGGGTCTGTAATAATCATATCCTATCTTGGTTTTTAATTTGTTGAAAAAATCCCCCACTCCCCTATTTCAACTTCCACACACTGTTTAATTAATTTTCATGTAAACTTCCTAGAAAAAATTTTAATTCTAAGAAAATGATCATTTAGAATTTCAGAACTGATTATTTCAACTCCACCCCATTAGATTCTGCAAAAACATTCCAACTTCATTCTACTGCCTATTTATTCAAATCCAAGAGTATTCACTTAATTGTGAATGCATGATTCATATTTTAAAAATGGTGCTGAAATATGTTCACAAAAGTCAGAATAGCTTCAGTATCAAGTAGGATTGTCAGCTCAGGCTGCCTATGAAATCTTATTAAACTATAATTTCAGTTTTAATGCACAGAGAAATGGTCAATAAGGAAAAAAAGATTCTTGAGTATTTTGGTATATAACATTTATATTACATTTGTTTAATATTGTATTTTAGTCCCATTGCACTGTTCCACTTGCTAGTCCCTGTATTCCATTGTTATGTAAGTTTCATTCGAGCAACTTCTTCCTATGAACTGTTGCTTTTTGGAACTGACTCCCATGAGGATGCTTCCCTGGTCACTACAATCTTAACCTGTTCAAGTCTAGAGTCAACTGTTATCTTCCCCACATATCCTCTATGCCTATTTATTACTCAATATCCTCATAAACTATGCCTATTATTACTCAATAACCCTCTGCCTCAAGTGTCTCTTGGGCCTTGTACAGGGTGAGCAGCATTGTAAAAAGAAATTCAAAGAAATATTTGTGTTCTTAAATTTGCAGTTTAATTTAATGGCTTATTCTCTTAATTTTAAGAGGGTTGAAATGTCATAAAAACAACCAACCGACTTAATTTTAAGTGAGAAAATGTGACTGTAATTTATGTTTGAACAACAATGACTTTAAAGGTTTGTTGTTGTTTGACTTGACATTCTATATTAACCTAAAAATATTGAGCAAAATTATTTTATCATATGCAGTCTGCAACATCTTGAAGTGTTTTTTGTTTTTCTAAGTTGTTAATTTTAAATGTCAATTTTGAACCAGCTGTGTACATGGTAATCAATAGTGGAACAAGGTAGTTTATACTGTCATGGCCGCTTGCTTCCTTTTATTAGAATCTCTATGTATTTTTTTCAGATAACACATTTCAATCAAATAAAATATATAATTTTATGTAATTCCATGAGTGTATAACAAAACTTGGAATAAATTATGTCACTGGGATTTTTGTTGTTTTAAAATTTGTTTTTATAAAAAAAGAATTATTTAGTTCATAATATCTTCTAAAAGTGAATCCCGGTGTGACCTTTAAAAATAAGTACTACTTGAATGTTTATAGTAAACTTAAAATCTTATGAAGTTTTTATTGTGCTACTTTCAGTTTTAGTTTAAACAATGTATGTTTTGAAAAGTAATTAATTTTACATGTGTAAATAAAGTGTAGATTTTAATTTCCTAGATCAATGATGTTCAAAATAAATATTTTCCTCTCTTCATAAAATATTAATGAAAATTTTTATAGTAATGTTGACAAGTACAAGTAATGTTTACTTTTATTTCAGAATGTTTATTAATACTTTCACTGCTATGTCATTATAATACTGTTGTCTGTGTATGCTGGCCCATTTTAGGGAAAATAGGAAATTGTCATTTACTGGAAATAAATGATTATAAAGACACTAGTGGCAATTTCTCATAATGCCATATTCACCCATGAAACACAGGCTCAATCCTGCTGTGGAGTGCTATATTCTTACTTGCCTTTGCAGTTAGGGGAGAGAATATTGAACAGTGCCATTTTTGCAACAGAATGGTAATGTCCTATTCCAACAGAATAATGCCTATCCACATGATTTGCTACATTGCAAAATGTTTGACAACTTTCTAGACTAATATGATTGCCAAAAACTGCCCCCACAATGAATATAGCCACATCACATTAAAACATATATTTCCATATGATTACTGAAGTTAAGCAATGTCAAGCTTGGTCAGTACCTAGATGAGTGAACTGTGCAAGTGGTGTCATAGATAATGGGTCAGAATTGTTAATCAGAGAGCTGAGTTCCAATTCTTGTTGGGTTCATTATATTCTCTTACGTTCAAATACACTTGAGAAAAGTATGAATCCACTTCTTATCGCCCCCAGCTATATATTAATTAGTAAGACTTGTATCACTGAACCATTATTATCCCCACCCACCAATTCTTACAATCTAAAAATATTTTCTGGCTTTAAATAACCTACAAAGGGTTGATAACCCATAAAAAACAATCACCACTGCGATTGAACATGTATGAATATAATTGGGCAACAACTTTTTTCCCTGGTACATGGACTACATGTGTTTAAGTGTGCTACTAGATTGGTATCTAGGTTCCACCATTTTTTTTGCTGAATTAGGTAAATATAACTGCCATTTCTACTCCAACAGTTTCTTTTCTCACACTTCTTGCTTCCCTGATAACTACAATCTTCAAAAATTTAAATGCAACGTCAATCACCATCTTCTATCTACTTGAACCTCGTTCAGCTTTTATCCTTTCCTTGGTCCCTGCTATACACAGTCTTTTCTCTCATTTTCACTCTCTGTGACCCCCCCCCCCTGCATACTAGTGGCATTCCTGTCTTGTTTCAGGTTAAATGATTAAAAAAATATCCTTAGACATGAGCAGGAGAATGAGAATAGTTTACCACCATAGATTAAATAAAGGATTCAGTTCAGAATTCTTTGTAGATTACCCAGATTAATATACACCTGCGGAAGACTGGAGGGTACAACGGCTGAAATGTTGTGATAACAACAGTAAAGATGAGGATAATAGTCCAAATATAAATAGTGTAAACAAGTTGTAACAAATAATTTTTGTTTTTAAATAATTTTTCAAATAAGTTTTTAAGGTATGGTAATTAATTTGATTTACAATACCCACTTACTCTCAGAGATCCCAAGATATTTTCCTCACACACAGTTTTGTCTTTCATTTTAAACTGAGGAAGCCAAAAAAGAGCATACAGTTCTCCAGCAAAATGTTTCTTTAATAAAATTTTCCACTTTGTCTCATCATCTTCACATTACCACTTAAAATAATTATAGAGGTAAGCTTGGTTTTGAATGTCCAAGACACATATGGATGATAGTGAAATGAATATGTCCAAGTAGTCATTTGTCGAGCATAGACCAAGAAAATTCTATACTCTGACAGTAACTCTTTTTTAATCCTTTAAAGTATGTACACCATCATCCAAAGCTTGAGATTTGACAAGTTGATCTATTCAGATTTTACTGTGCAGTTCACATTATTCATGAAAAAATTCTAATATCATATAAACTACTACTACCTGAGAAAATTTTGTGCACATTTCCCAATCTTCATTATAAATAAGAAAGTATATACAACTATACCACTGTTCTTTCTTAATTTTTTTTTTTTTGTTAATTGTAATCACCCCATGCAAGGCAGTAAAGCTAAGACAGGGTGTGGAAGAATTAGAAACAGAAACATTAATGATGAGCAGAAAGAGTAATCAGGAGGACAGTAGAGAGTAATGGACATTGCATTTAAATTTTTGCAGATTAAAGTTGGCTGGAAAGCATGGAGCCAGAAGGGAGTTCCACAAGTGAGAAGTGTGAGAAAAGAAACTGTTAGCATAGAATTTACAGTTACATCTAGCCAGCTCAACTGTAAATTGATTAGATCTTGACACCAGTTTAATACTGCGCTTAAATTTAAAATGTTTACGTACCATAGTGGAGATCTCACCAAACAATTTTCATTAAAGTATTTATAGAAAAGGCAGATAGAAGCAACCTTATGGTGGTGGGGAAAATGACTGAAGTAGAGCCACTAGATCAGGACCTATAATATTGCTGATTCTTCTTTGGATATTATCAAGGAGCTCAAGATAAATAGCAGGGGCACTGGACCATATATGGCAGCAATATTTTAAGCATTGACGAATGGTAGGCATAGTTTAGATATTAGAAAAAATAAATGCACAGTAGGCTCTGATCAAGAATTGATTATATCAATAATAGTGAATTGATAAGAAGGCATTACTGGTATTTATTTGTATTGTATTTAAAAGAATAAAACTATCACCACTGCTAATGAAAATGAATACTGAATCACTTAAATGGAACACATTAAGACCACAAATGTTGATCCTTAGGAAAGGTTATTCCTTTCAAACAGATCTGCATAGGAAGAACCATTTTTATATTAAATGTTGATTCCATTCTTGTACATTTGGTCCTAATAAGTAGCCATTCCTTCATTTAACCAAAATCCACTGTATATCAGTCTGCATTTTAATCATTCTTTGTTTTCTCTGTAGGAATCAGAAGAAATAAAGTCAAATTCTTTGGATAATCAGTTGAAAGCAAAAGAGAGTGAGCTTAAAGTGCAGGAACAAGAAAAAAATGATCAGCAGGAGGTTTGTACCTTCTTTTCTGTCAGTTTCCATTTACTAAATAGTGTTCTTGAGCCATTAGTACTGGACATAATCTTACTTTCAATTCCAGACATGTCAATCTGCATTACTTTTATAATTGCCAATGATAATAATTGTATTTTTTTTTCTTTATGCAACAGGAATGTTGCAGAAAATCTACCACAGTTCAATTCTAGGAATATTCTTAGAAGAATTTTTGTTTGAGTTGTAATTTTCAGAATACCATTTGTTTTTATTTTTAATATGATCATTTGAAATAAATATAATAAGTAAAAATGAGTAATATATATAAATATAATAAGTAAATATAATTAAAAATAAATGGTGCAGCCACTTGTATCTGAGGATGCCAGTCTCTTAGGAGGGCTAGCTAATCCTGTTGCAGATGCCTGCTCAGACATATTTGTGTTTGTTCAACAGCCATTGAGCCGAGCTGTGGTTTATACTGCAACTATGCTGAGCGGACATGGGAGAGTGCGCATTATCTAGCATGATCAACAGTTTAAACAAGGCCAGCACACTCAAACCCTCGGTCACTATGACTTGTGACTTTGTGCTAACACGACCATTGACAGCTCCTGTGGTTCCATCTACCCAATTTCACTCACAATGCTTGGGTCAACCCATAGTATGGTTTTCAGGTACTTTCCAATGGTGCTGCTCCTCCAGACTGATAACATTAAGAAGTCACCTTCTTGACAAATTTACCATGGCGAGATTCGAGCCTGGGTCACTTGCTCAGAAAGCAAACGTTCTAACCATTCAGCCATGAGTAAATATAAGTAAAAATAAGTAAAAATATAACAAGGATAAAAAGAAAAATGAAGTTTGATAAAGGATAACATCTATATACAGAATGACATGTAAGTTTGTATATTGGTCATTCTTCTCCAAGATTAGTAATATTCTAAAACTTTTTTTCTAATGGAAGACAGAGTATTAGTTGATAAATATGCAGTTTAATCCATTTAGTGGTAGTTGGCTAAAAGGTTTGTTCAGTTTATTAAGTAATATAAGAAAAATACAAACTTTAATGTTTGCAGGCAACTTCCTAATTCCATCCTCTTTTCAGAACTTTTCTATTTCTCAGTTAAAAAATATCTTTTGTTTCCAGCGGATTTAAATTTATTAAGAGAATTCTTTAAAGACAATAATGAATGGTAATCTATTGAGCATGACAGAAGAGTGAAAACTTTCCAGTTAAGTTGTAACTATTTTTGCCTGGTCAACAAATAAATATGCATTCTAGCATTATCCTCATAAAATATTCATGCATTTTCTCTGGATGCTTTATGTCCATTGATATCTTTAGTTCATCTAAGTGTAAACAGTTTTGTCAGCTATACTTCAATACATGATCAATTATCCTTGACTTCATAATATCTTTTTATATATATATATATATATATATATATATATATATATATTACTTCAAACATTGTTATAGTGGACATATCTTATTTGAAATAGATATCCCATTTTTATTATTTATTAAACAGTGTGTATTATGTTTATCAACCTGTGCACTCGAAAAATATAAGTAAAGAAAATGTATCCTCTAGCAGGGATTAAACCTGTGTCATCCTTTGTAGGGGAAAGTATTGTTTGATCTGGCATGCTTTACTGTTCAACCACTAAGGACTTTTTTTTTTTACCCTAATGCAGATCTCCTTCACTCAGATTATGTTTCCTGAGAGCCTATTTCTGCTCAGTTTTGTATCTAAAATGTAAACAAAAGCAATTTCTAAAGAATTTGTGGATTTTATTTTTAATCCAACATTTTTTTTACTTCAAACATTATAATAGTGGATACATCTTATTTGAAATAGATGCCCCATGATATGGATGTATGTGTTCCTTTAGGTTTATTTTTAGTGTTGTTAGTTACACCTTTACATTTCCTTCTCTTAACTGCATGAAATGCTTATAATTTCAATTCTTGGTTATGTTCCCATCTAATAAAGGTTTGACTTTGGTCAGATATCTCTTAAGTATGGTATCACTGTGGATTGAATAAAGAGCTCTGTTTGAAATTCTGAGTATGATACCACATATGACATGACGAGGACAATAGTTTGACTAAATCAGTGTATAAATAACCGTAGTCAGGATCATCGATTTGATGTGAATGATCCTTTCCTTAGCTACATAGTATATACTTTGCCAGAGCTACATACAGTTTTGAACTTAGAATTTTCCTTCTCCTAGACTGGTTGCCACTCAATTATAGAACCCAGTCTGTCATATTTATCCATAGCTGGGGAGAGAAGAGTTGGATTTATACTTTTCCCAAGGTATACATAAGCGAATGTAATAAATGAGTGTATAATACTTTTGATATATTTCATCATTCACAGTACCGTCTTCATAAGTTATGATTATTTTTTTTTATTTTTTTTTTATTTTTTAGGCATTTAATTTGCATTTTTAACTTTCTTAAAATAAAAAAAAAGCAATACAGATAGATTTTTGATTTTCTGGCAGCTGATTGTATAGCATCTCTTAATCTGGACAAAATTATGAGTGAACTGCACATCTGTAGGCTGCCCAGAAGTCAACAAAATTCTTCTTATTTTAGCCAACTGTTCAACCCATCCAAGTGCTGAACTGCTGTTTATGAATTATGTGTATACAGCACACTTACCACCATGCTGTAAATCCCTTATCCAACCCCAAGATCAAGAAATACTGTGCTCTGCAAAGACTAATAATCTCTTGTTTTCTATGAAGCATATGTTTTCTCATGTAAATTCTAGCAAGTCTGTTGAGAGTTTTGGTTTGTTAATCATACTTTAGGGAAAATAAAAGCACTCACATTAAAGAAAGGATGCTATAAGTTGTGACCTGCCTTGATGTTAGAAAATACCCCTGCTGAAAATCTTGATAAAAACTTCACTGGATTTCGTATATCAAACAAAAATGAAGTTTGTGAGATACTTGGCCATGTAAAAAGTTTTATGCGAAATGCTACTGAGAATATTGCAAATAGGCTTAATAAAGAATATTTGCACTATTTACATTATTCAGACTATTGCCCTCATCTTTGTCGCCATATTTATTACAATGTTTCAGCCGTTGTATGCTTCAGCCTTCTTCAGGGGGGTTGGAATGTCAAACTGAACCATTTATTTTGCTCACTGGGGTAGACTGTTCTAGTTCTACGTGCCATGTCTACTGGATGTCAGTTATCTGCTGTTAATTCCCCTCTCCAAGTTCTTCACCATTAGGTTTATAATACCCAGAAATTCATACATAGATGTCCTTAAGGACACATGGCACAGTGGATAAAGGCGTTAGTTAGATCCAGTGACAGGACCCAAAGAGTGTGTGTTCAATACCTGGTTAAGGTGGTGGAGAGCTTGGAGAGGGGAATTAACTGACGTGCCATTAGACATGGCACGTGGAACTAGAACAGTGAGCAAAATAAAGGGTTCAATTCAACATTCCAAACACCTGAAGAAGGCCATAGCGTACAACAGCCAAAATGTTGTAATAAATATGACAACAAAGATGAGGACAATAGTCTGAATAATGTAAATAGTGTACATAATACCCCATCTCAGAAAGAATATTTGATTGAGTGGGTGAATGCTAATAAAGAACTGCACATGCTGTGGAACACAACTGACTTTGAAATTATATGATGATTAATAGAGTTGATGAGAGAACTAATCAAAGCCCTAAAAAGATATGATTTTATGACAAGTCAAGAACATTTAATTTGTTGCATGAGAAACAACTTCACCTTGACTTTTAAGATGATAACTAAGAATAACGAGTTTCAAATCTGTACTCCTTCATTTGTCAATCTTTCACTTTCAAGTGACCAATATTATTGACAATAAACTACATCTGGCAGCAAGGCCTCTGATTGGGAGATTGGAGGTTTTGAGGAGCATTGAACCACCTCTTGTTGCTCACAGGTCCATCCTGACCCATGGTGGTAGTACCTGTTAGGGTCCCAGCTATGGGCAAATAGTGAACCCCTCAAACAAAAATCACTAGTACATTTTTATAGCAAAATGACAATCAATGCAACACTAAAAAAATATAAAAATACATTTTTATAGTAAAATTACTGACAATACATTTTTGTAGTGAAATTACCAACAATACATTTAAAAAAATTATCGACAATACATTTTATGATCTTCAAAGTATATATCTAAAAAAATGTTTACCCTGCAAGTATAAAATTATGTACAAAATATTTAGATTTCAGCATTAAATAACCCATAGAGATGTTGATATGCTGCTAAACAAATTCAACCAAATCAAGTGACCAGGCAGTTATGAATTCAAGTTTATAATGCAATTGTTACTTATGAAATAAAAAGTTTTGTTTGATGGTTCCCCTCTTCCAGACCTTTTTGAATGTATAATGCAAAAAATTGTAAAATTTGTCATATTGAGAGTAGCAGTATATCAAAATACTTTGTAAATACATTACTGTATCTGTTTAGTATATATGTATTTTATATAAATGAACTGTATCATTTATATTTATGTATTGCATTTCGCCATTTAATTCATACTTGATATTTGTTTAAGTTTTTAATAATTGATAATTAACTAAAAGAAACAAAATGTACGGTTATCAGCCAGAAGAACAACTAAGGACATGAGCTTTGAATTGGAGACATCAGAATTGAGGAGGTACAGAAATTCAACTGCATTGGTAGTGTAGTAACACATGACTGAAAATATGACACAAAAATTAAAAAGCACATTAGAATAGAAAAGATGCATTCTAGAAACTAAGCAAAGAAAGAGAAAAATTTCATTAGAAACAAAGAAAAGAGTGCTGAGCTGTTATGTCATATCTATCTATCTATATAGCAGTTTATCCTGGACAATTTCCTTACAGATGAAGAAGTGGCAGATGCTGTTCTACAGATAGATACTGAGAGTACCATTAACAGAGCATGTAAACAACAAGGAAGTTTGAAAGAAAATGGGAAATAGGACTTATACTTAAAATCAGAAAGAGCCAGTTGAAATTTTTGTGACACATCATGAGAAAAGAGGTCTTGGACAATTTATTGAATGCAAGAGACACAGAGGGAATCAATGAGTAACCTAACTAATAAGTTTGTGTGAATAGATGGCAGAGTGGGGATAAAGACAGATGGTAAAGAGTCAAATGTTGCTTAGCGCTACAAGGGACAAGAAGAGTCATGATTGTACATTACATAAAAGAAGCATGCTTAAAAATATGAGATGTGTTGTAAGTGTATTATTGAATTATTACTGTGTCCTCTGTTGGCCTGACAAAAGATACTGGAAAATAGATGGGGTACCTCTGCAATGAAAGGTGATCTTTTTCAATGAAGCTCTTAATGCCATAAAATAACAAAAGCAGAACAAACTTTTTGGTCAACCCAATACTTATTCATTTTAATGATTGTATTGGAATATTTTTTAAAGTTAATACACAATAGACATTTTTTGTAAAGTCATTGTAATTGGATTTTTAGAAAACATTATATTAACTCAATATAGATTTTTTACAGTTCTCATTTAAAAACTTTACTAGATTATTTTAAATGTGTCTAATAATGTGTTAGGGTATTTAGTTATCCTTTTATGATTTTTAAGAAAAAAATTATGCTAATTTGATCATTGTTTGTGAATAGTTTATAAAAATGTGTAGAGTATTAAATTGTTATTATGGTATTAAATTGTTTACAGTTTTGCTTATTTTTTTTATTTGCACACAAATCAGAGTAAATTAATTTGTTCAGGATAACCTGTAATTAGTAACAAAAAAAACCTGGTTTTCTTCATAAAAAAATACTCTTTGCATGATAATTTTTTTTCCATATGCCAAAATCTGCATTATTCTGGCATTGAAATATTGGCAATTTTTAACCTTCATATCCACAAAAAATGTTTAATTCAAAAGGAGTTTTTTTTTTTTGTTTTTTTTTTATATACTGCTTTTACTTTAAACTACCAAAACTACCTCAGCAATGTTTATTTACAAGAGTATGAAAATATATGCGCCAAGTACAATGCGATATTTATTATTTACCATTTAATAAAGATTTATTATTTATCATTTTATAGCAAAATAAATTTGAATGTTAATGAATGTTAATGCTAAATACATGCTAGATTAGTAGTTTTCTTTCTCAAAAATCTTTGCTTTTATCTTATAATTAAAACCTATATTTTGCATCTATTTTGGTTTTAAATGTTTCTAATTATGTGATTGCTCTTGTATTCTTTTGTTATGCCCAAATATTTATTCCATTGCATCTATTCTTTCTATCTGCCTGGATTCACGTTATGTATTTTTCAATCCAGCTCTTCCTGTCATTCTTGCTCATTTTGTCTCACAACTTTTATAAGAATAGCATTTGCATGCATCAATCACTGAGCAATTTCATTCACTTTCTCCATTTTCACCTCCTCTTCTCTTGGCTACCAAATAATTAAAAAGGAAAAGAAAAAATTAATATTATTTCTATGAAACTGAGAAATGTTAGGCCTGTTTGTAACTACTGATAGTAGGCTTGTAAAATCCTGTCCACCTGTTTTATTTTCTTTATCTTTGGTTTGCTCTGCTGTCGTACCACAGCATAATAATGACCAGTGATAATAGTTTTCATTAAAAGTACTTAGTTTGTAGACACATTTTAAGTTAACCTGATATAACCATACTTTCTACTGAGTGTAAATTTGAGAAATATCAGAGAGCAAGAAAAATAGCATAAGAATCTTATGAAGAAAAAATTTTCTATTTGTCATTTTGATTAACAATAAAGATATTTTTGTTTTAGTTTAAAATTAGAATTCTCTGTTTTAAAATATGGTACTCAATATCAGGAAAATCCTACAAACTAATGACAATAAAATTATATCAGTAATGAATAATAGATTTAATTATTTTGTAAATATTTCATTGAATCTGTTTTTTATTTTTTATTTTTTTTCTGTTACTGCTAACAGAAATCCACAACCTACATACTTAATCTATTTTGTTGACTTTTGTTAGTATGGTGTCTTCAAGTTTACTGCTTAATGCATTACTGAACTTTGTCACATACATCTTTAATACACAAGTTTCTTTAATGTTTCTTTGTTAATATGATCTCTAGTCATTAGTGTAATTAATGGTTATCATTGTTTTATGTCATCAAGATTACTGCTTATATCATATGAAACTGGTAGGGAAAATCTTCTAATATGATTAATCAAAATAAACTTAGAATATCAATAATATCTCATTTTACATAAACCTAGATTAATACAAGAATTTATTTTTAAAATAGTAAAGTCACAAATTTCCATGCAATTAATTGTAAATGATTTTCAAAGTATTCTCAGTAACATTAACTGTTCCTTTTATCATGCAAAGATTCTTACATTATATTTAGAGCTAACTTCATCTGCAATGGATGCATGCAACATATTTGGATAAAAAGCAAGGGACTGTAAAGTTCAGTTATGTTAGATTTCATGATAAGATAAACCATGTAGTTGACCTATAACACAGCCAAGAAAGAATTTGTTAATTTAAATAACTGATCAGTTTATATGAATCAAAAATATAAAAACATTTCTAGATTGCTAAAATGTTTGCAAAATTTTAAACATTAGAATATTATAAAAAAAAACTGACAAAATTTTATGTTAAGCTATTGCAATAAATTTTTATTCCATATGTATTAATATTAGTATTTATGAAATTGTAAAAGATTTAATAGCAGATGAGGGTATTTTAATGTTTTTGTGGGTCTGATTAGAGAAGGAATTGTTTTGTGGGTCTGATTAGAGAAGGAATTGTTTATTGTTCTAGATTCACAGTTTGGTTGTGAAAGAGCTGGAATCTCTGAAGGTGCAGCACAAAGATGTCTTAGAAGAGCTGAAGACTATGAAGGATAAGGTAGGAAGCTTGCATCATTCATGTTAACTGCCTTATAGTGACATTAATGGTAGCCATCTTGTACAGACCTTCTATTACACTTTCATCTCTGCTTTTCATTTCATATAAAAACTAACATACAAAGTGTACATAAAGCAAAGAAACAAATATCTTTATAAAAATATTTATCATCTTTAAGGAGAAAACAACATGATTTTTGTGACAATCATTTGCATAATTACAGATTATAAAACATACAAGATGAGATATTTAATCACATTTATTTGTTAGGAATTCTGATCAAATAGTATGAGTAGACTTTGAGAGGAAATACTGATGCACTTGACACTCTTCTTCATTGTTTCAAACTAGGAATCTGAAAATAGAAAAAGAAACTGTACTGAAATGGTGATAACACTGAAGTTTCTACATAATAAAATACTGTACAATAGATATTTATGAAGCAAATTGAAGAATTAACTTCTAATAGGTTTGATAACCTTCATACTTGAAAGTTGTCTTTAGCTATCTAAAATTAACAATATAAGATATTGCTTACCATTTCCAAAATTAGGAAAATGTTTTAAAAATATGATTGTGTAGTCATATTGCTACAGTATTGTTTATAATAGATTTTAACTGTTTGTTTTCTTTTTTGTTCTAGCGAAAAATGTTTTACTGTTTTGTCTGCTGCTGATGCATCACTTTTATACTAAATTTGGAATGGTTTGGTAACATGTCAATAAAAATGTCTTACCATCAACAATCATGAATATGTCAATCCAAAATATAAATTTTGTACTAATGCAGGTCTCCCCCAGAGCTCTATCTTTGGTTCTATTTTGTTTTTAATTTTCATTAATGATCTTCCTGATAGGATCAGCTCTCAACTTCCTATCTATGTTGATGACACAAGCATTTACTCATGTCTCGATATTAAGTCTGATCAGTCCAATAAGGTCAAATTGGCAGCTGATGTCAAAAACGACCTTTAGTCTGTTGTTAACTGGGGCAAAGGATGGCTTGTTAATTTTAATGCCTCCAAAACTAAACTGCTCTCTATTAATCATCTGAGAGCCCTTTCTGCCTTTCATAGGTATGACTGATGTCAACCTTCAGGAGAGTGATTTGTTGTGCCTTCTTGGGCTAATGTTTTCAGTTGACATGAAATCAAAAGACTATATTGAATCCATTGCTAGGTCAGCTGCTAAGAAAGTTGGTTCACTTTGTCATGCTAGATAATTATTCTCTAAAGAATCTATCATACATATTACTAAGTCTACCATTCATCCATGTTTAGAATATTGCTGCCACATATGGTCTGGAGATACTTGATAAAATCCAAAGAAGCATCAGAAATATTATTGGTCCTGATCTGGCTGCTCGGCTTCAGTCACTTTCTCACCACTGTAAAGTTGCCTTCCTGTGCCTTTTTTATAGATACTTTCATGGTACGCTATGGTACTTAGACTTTATGAATTTAAGCACAGTACCAGACTGGTGATAAGGTCTCATCAATTTATAGTTGAGTTGGATTGATGTAACTATAAGTTCTATGCTAACAGTTTCTTTTCTCTCACTTCTTGCTTGTGGAATTCTCTTCCGGCTTTTTGCTTTCCAGTCAACTTTGATCTTCAAAAATTTAAATGCAATGTCAGTCATTATGTACTGATTCTTCTTCTTTTGTTCTTGCACCTTAATGTTTCTGCTTTCTAATTCTTTCACACCCAGTAACTCCTTATGTCTTAGTGGCTTTACTACCTTGCTTTACTAACTAAAAAAAAAATTCTATATTAGCTCATCACATGCTGAAATGTAAGTTCATTTAATAAACTAAAAAAAATGAAATTATTTAAATTATTCATTTTCTTTTACAAGAATCTCCATGAAATGAGATTATACAAGTTATTTAATTTTATAAATAAAGATAAATTAGAATTAATACAAATAAAATTTGTCACTGAGCTGAATTGATGTTATATTTGGCACCTCAACTCTAGAGTTTTGTAAATTAACTCTTTTTGTAATTGTTCAATCCTCTGTTCAGGGGTAAATTGAAAGCATGAAAATCAATTCTTATTTAGATCAACTTTGAGAAAATTGATATTTCTGCTTCCAGTAAAAGATTTCATTTAAAGTTCATGTAAATTTTTATCCATGATGTGCGTTTAGCTTTTTAAAACTTTCTAATAGTTTCCTCACATTTTTTTTATAATATAACAATATATGAATATTGAAAGAAAATAGTACAGTTAATAAATTCATTTCAGCTTTGTGTTTTATAATAGATTTTATAAATTTATATTAAAGTAGTGTATATTTTTCATGTGTGATTTAAATGACATTAGAAATAAAGGGAACTTATTAACTCCTATGGAAATTTGTTCTTATACAATGGTGAGCAGAAGAAATGAGCTACCTAACTTAAAAATCAATTTGTTTAATTTTCACTTAGAAGTTTTAAATATTCAACAATGTACTTTCAGAATTAGTATCTATGGTTATTCATGACTTTAATGCAAATTGTTGCATATACATGGACCCAGTACAAGCGTAGATACAGAACTGAATACATTATGATACTGTAAAAATAAGGCGTGCAAAAGTTATGACCACCTGAAGAAATATAAAATTAACTGCTTTTATTGATGTAAGAAAAACTAAAATTGCACAAAATAAATTTACTTATACATTTAAGGATATTAAAAATCCTAATCTATATTTAGTATGGTTCCTACTAGCACAAACTACAGCCTCAACTCCACAGAATGGAGGAATACAACTTAATGGTTTCATCAGTAATGTTCTGCCATTTCTGTTGATAGTAAACCCAAAGCTCTTGCAAGTTCTTCACATAGGTTTCATTATGTTATGGTTAAGGTTTGGGGTAAGCCAGTCTTGTAACACTACATTCATTACATGCAATGTATTTCAAAGTGATACCATCATGTTGGAATTTTTCACCTTCTGCTATATCTGGGAAGTAGTGGAAAAGTAATCTGTTTTTACACTGTTCAATGGTTCTATTGAATTTTTATCACATTTCTTGTACTGTTACTGTAGCCCCAAACTGTTAACTCGCTCACTACCAAATTTTACTGTTTTTCTTGTATATTTTAGATTGTTTCTTGTACCAATCAGTTTTTGGATATATTCTTTTCCATTAGAATTCTGTTGTATTTTGCTTTTGTCACTATATATCATTTTTGCTCATTTTATATTATCTCAGAGCAGATTCTTTTTTTTTTCCATTGCTTGCATCTTATTCAATGTTTTTTTTTTGTTTTGATTAATGATAGCTTGTTTGATGCAGTACTCACTATTTAGATTACTTTTATGTAGGTATCTCAAAAAAAAAAATAGTATCCTGAGGTTTAAAATGCATCTTTTAAAATTACAATTCTTTTTGAAGATTTTATTTTAGTTTTAATTTCAAGCTAATAGATTAAATTTAATATTTCCCATAAACAAAATACTTTACTGTATTTCAAACTGAATTTAAATTGATTGAAATGAGTTTTTTTTTTAAATTTTTTTCTCAATAAAAGTGCTAACATCATCTATATTGACAAATCTGTCAACATAACATAATACTCTTTATTAAAAAAATCTTTCAGAAATGTAATATACTTTTCTGAAACTTTGAGAAAGATTAGCTGATTTAAAGTTTAATTGATATTTAAAACAAATATTACTTTTAGTTTAAAATACTGCAGAAAAGCATTTTTTGAAATGGAGGTGGGTGTTTTTATGAAAATTAACTTATGTTTAAGAATTTTTTCTAGGGAAGACATAACTTTAACATTTACTTGACATATCTAATGTGAATGCTTTCTTTATATAATTTTTTTAAACTACCCAATAATCTTAAAAATGTAAGAAAATATTCTCCATAATCTAATGTTTTATTGAATTTCAGGTACTTTGGTTTTGTAGTCTAACTTATGAAGACACTTGTTGAAGAAATGCCAGAAAATTACAAATAATTTTAATTTTACTCTATTTTCCAGTCTTATTTTCTGATAATGTTGCATTTGGAATATGTTCATACACACATAAAATAAATTAAAAATTCTTTTTAAAATATGGGGGAAGGGTCATTGAATTGTAATGAACTTTTCCATTTATGATTAGTAAATACAGTTTTAATTTAATAAAAATATCACTTGACCACTACAAATTAATACAGAATTTTAAAAGAATATAAATTATTTTAATTAAAGTTTAAAAAAAAAATGAAAGCAATTCTATTCTAGTAAAAAAATTTAGCATTCATTGAAAAAAATTATTTTCTTAGGACAAGAGTGTCCATAATATATTTTAAACATAAAAGCAATTAAAAGCTTTCCAATTAAATAATGTCTTCGCTATATTTCATTTTTTATTTTATGATTTAGAGCAGATTTTCTGTAACTGGGGCTCCTGTTTGACCAAAAAACATTTCAATTTTCCAAGGACATGTCCTTATAACTAATATAAACATTAAATGCTACAATAAAGAATTTCTTGAAATTTCATAAAATTAAATAAGTATGAGTTAACAGATGTAAAAAAAAAAAAAAAAAAATTTTTTTACAAAGATTTTCTAAAAAAGAAACATTTTCAAAAATAATTTCATTCATTCCTGAAAGTTTCATTAAAATCTGACAATTATCTAATTTTTGAATCAGTGTGTTTTGTACTGCAAAAATATGCTAAAATTTCCCATACTGATTTATGGTCCCCTGTAGATGCAAGAAAAACAAAATTTTTAATCAAAATTTTAAAGGTTCTAAAAAGGATCAAGAAATAATTTAATATTAAAAATCCTTTGGTTTTTCCTCTTAATAACACAAAGATTTTGACAATAAAACTTTGTTTTTATTAAGTTTGGGGCATTTTTTCATCATGCTATGCTTATTTTTTCGCAAATCTTTGGAGGTAGCTACTTTTATATAGTATTTTTTTTTTTAACTGTATGAATTGACACTTCAGTAGCAATTCTGCTTTCATTTATTACTTGATGAGCTGTTAATTTATGGTGGGATATTAATAACCTCACCAGCTTTCTTTGATCTCTTTTGCCTAATTTTAAAGGTTTACCACTTTTTTTCATATTTAAATCACACCCAACATCAGTATGCTTCTTCTTGGTGACTTGGACAGCATGCCTTGATATTCCAAGCTCCTTGGCAATTTCATGTTGACTCATTCTTTGTGATAATTTTCATCCTTTTATTCAAACTCACTCTACCAATGTTGAAACTTAAATCAGCTACACTAAAAGGACAAGTTGAAGGCTTCAGACTTTATGCAGCCTGTGTTTGATCTTTTGACCTGAGAAACTTGCATGTATATCTTAATCTGGGATGATGTTAATCTTGACAAGTATCAAGTGACTCATAACTTTTTGCAGGTTTTATTACCAGTTTTGCATTGTTTTCAGATCTGTATCTCTCCTCATACTGTATTCATGTAAATACAATAACTTCTATTAAAGCCTTAAATGATCACAGACACTACTTGTAAAAGTATATTATTGTATTCTTACAGCTTCTTTATAAAAATGAAGCAAATTGATTTTTTGGCTAGGTGGCTCATTTGTTTTGCTCACAATTGTACAGTTAGCAAAATCAACCCCAGTCCAACTTGTTGATATAATCATAGTGTCTATATTGCACCTTTTTTCATTTATCACATTCCTTCATCTTTCATCTCATGTTGTTTGTCTGCATGTTCTTAATTTGAATTTCTTTATTGATTCAATTTTCTTGTGATTTTTCTTTACAAATTTTACTAACCATCATTTTATTTATTTTTTTATTTACTTAGGTTACCTGTCTTGAAGATGAGTGTCGTGACAAAGAAGACACTCTTTCCAAATTTAAAGATGTCCTTCAAAACCAGAAAGCTAGGATTAAGGAACTCCGTACACGGCTCAAAGAACTGGAGGACATCAAAAGTGATTATGATAGGTAATAGTAATTGCTGCTGTATACTTGTGTGCATATATGAAAATAACAGAAGTCGATATTTCCACCATTTGCGTATTACAGATTTTATTGATAATGTACTAATTGGTATACATATCCTGTATAGAAGACTTATTACTGGTCTTTTTATGGTGCACTGAGTTAGGAAAAATTAGTTCTAGATGAATTCAGTATCAAAAATCTGTTTATTTTAATAACAATAATTCTTATAGAGAAAGTACTTTGGAGGGATTGTTATCTATAACAGTAAATTGTAAAATTATAAGATATTGTTTGAAAAAGTTTCAGAAAAAAATATTTTCCAAGTTTATAGTATAAATTGATTCTCTGTTGAGTTTAATTTATTTCTTTTGTTTTGGAAATCAAAGAAGATGAGGAATTGAAATACTGTATCTGCTTTTAAATATGTTAAAGAAATATCTACTGTATGTAAAGGGAAGTACTGAAAGGTTCTCAGCTTGACCAAGAAGCCCTTCCAATAAACATCTGATGTTTAGTCAAACTTTGGGAAGTGGATTAATGCAATAATTTTTCAGTACCCCCCTTGTAAGATGGGTGGGGGTAGAAGTTTGAAAATGGAAGGATTCTTTCTAGGAAAGTCATGGAGATGAGTAGATGCTGAAAATAGCTGTGATATGTGGCATAGGATGAATTGGGAGAGGAAAACATTGTAAAGGAAAAATTTCATAGAAAATGCCTGAAATGTTTGTTTTTTTTTTTTTCGAGGAGGATGTAATTATTTTAACTTAGAAGTAGATATAATGATTCTTAAAAATTATTTCAGAGGCCAGGTGGAACTTTCTGAAATGGAAAAAACTCTGCAAGAACAAAAACAAATATGCAAAGATATTGAGGCAGACATTGAATCATGTAAAAAGAGAGAATCAGAGCTGCTGGAACTTACATCTAATCTGAGTGCCAAAAATGCTCAGCTACAATCAGACAATATTACTGTAAGTAACAAGGTAAGTAATGAATGACCATTTTGTCATTTTCTATCTACTTTCAAATGGTCTTCATTCTATTCAAATTATACATTTTATAAGGATTGAAATGTTAGAAAAATTAATGACAAAATGGGAAAATATTTTCCACTTTGTCATTAATTTTCCTAACATTGTTCTGGTATATAAAAATTTGTATACCATTTTCTCCCATATTGAAATCTCTGCAGTGGTCATGAGACTTGCTCAAAATTAATGCAGTTCATTAAAAAAAAAACAAAAAAACTGTTACTAAAGTTAAAGTATACTTTCTCAATTACTGGTTTGGAGTAGGCTTGTAAAATTGAAAAATATTTGGAAAAATGAACTTTTTTTATTTCCTTTCTAATTTAAAATATAAATTATATTTTCTAAACATGTGTAATGCTTAGAAAATATAATTTATGTTTTAAATTTATTTTTATTTACTTTAAGCATTCCTTTCTTTCCTGTTAATGTCATGTTCCTTCAGCACATAAGCAATTGTTATTCTCCACAGATTCCTTTTCTTATTATCTGTGAATTGCCATGTATTCTTGGGAAACATAATGAAGTGATTTCCAATTGCCTTCTCCACAGTTTGGAATTTTCCTTCTACCATCCAAGGCTAGATAGCCCAGTGTACTCTGCTATTAACCCATAAATGAGGGCTAAACTCTCTTTCTCTCTTACACACATACAAGAATTTAAATTTAATTTATGAAGATTTTAGGTTTAGCCTTTAAAAAATTAATATTTGATAATTATTTGCTATATACTTAAAACTAATTATTTACTTGACAAAATCATTAAACTTCTAGAGTAGTTCTCAGATATTCAATTTTTTTTTTTTCTATATTAAGTGTACAATGTCTCATCTGGGGAGGTAGACAGACCTGAATCCGTTTATGCGGGGGTTTACAGAGAATTTTTGGCCAAGCCTATAGGCTTGGATTGCCCTAGATTAAATTCAGCCTTGTGCCACATCCTACCCCATGGGGAGGTTGGTAAATATTACAAGCTGGGATCTGTTGAGTACGACTTGGACTTATGCGAGAACTACCGAGCTTCCAATCGTAGCACTCACTACTGGATTGACTTGCGATGATCTTGTGCATAACTGTTACTTTTATTATTTTTATACTGGTTTTTTACAATAAACCTTTACTTATTTTATCCATCTTGTTTTTCAAGTATATATTCCTATTAGCACGGAATATAACAGTCTGAGTAGTTAAAATACTAGCTACTGTTGTTAATGTGATTTGAATTTTAAAGGTAACTATTTTTTTTTTTTTTGGTTTCTAATAGTTTACATAAGTGATTTTTGCTTATTAAAAATGATTTAATATTTTTATTTTACATTTTACCTAATTAATATGTAAATATGTTTCCCTTTGTGTAGTTTGATTAATATCATATATTATCAGATGAATTAATTTCTTTTAACTTTTAGGTGCTTTCATTAGAAGATAGTTGTAACAGTATGAAGCTAAGAATTCAGGAATTGGAAACAAAATCACAAGAATTAGTAAGTACATAAAAAAAATTGCATTATTTTTATTGTGTATTCAGAATCCCAACAAAGTTTAAAGAATATGACAAATGAAAAACTGTTTCACTGAAACGTGATAAGATTATGTTTTGCTTTTACTGGGCTCCATCAGATTAAAAACGAAAGAAAGAAGTATGTGTATAGAGTGTCCTTGCTATTAAGATTGTGACATTTGTTAAATGATCTAACAATAAATCTATTTTGTATTTTTCAAATCATTTATACTTAAATTGCTTTGGTTACCTCTGCATGAAAAATTAAAAGCACATATATTAAGTTTATAGACACTCAGATAATCTTTATATATTTAGATGCTTTGTTTTGTTTTTAATTCCAGTTGAAAACAAAGAATTTGATAAATCCTGATATTTTCTTTATAGTCCTATTTACAATGTTTTTCTCTCTTTTGCAGCATAATGATTTGATTGAAGAAAAACAAAAACGCCAAGAAGAAACAACTTCTTTGGCTGAGCAGTTACATGACAAAACAAAAGCAGGTGTGTGAGCAATTCTGTTTTTTCTTCTTTTTTTTTTTTTCAATTGATGTTTAGTCCTTGTAGCTTTCCTTCACTACTTTCTGTAAGGGTTCCTGTAGTTTTCTTTCTATATCTGCAATCAACACTGTGTCATCTGCATGGCTAAGATTGTGGCTGCTAATAATGAATTCATGTAGGCCTTCTAATTCTTTCAGAATTACCTTACTTTATAGGTTGAATAAGTCCTGTGAGAAGACACATCCTTGTGTAAGAAACCTTTCTATTTCTGTATATTTACTGAAATCAATTTCTATCCGTATGCAGACGGTTTGCTGCCAATATAGGTACTGGATTATGTAAGTTTAAAAAAATTCAGATTATACATGTTGGAAACATATATATATATATATATATATATATAATAATATCTGTGTGGTTGGTCTTTTGGGAGATTCCCTTATTGTTGTTGTATGGGAAAGTATCCAATCTAGATCAGTTAGGTAATTTCTTCTTTTAATTCCTATATTTTCCTTTAAACTCAATTGTTATGATAAAATTAAAATATTTTTGTTGAAAAATATACCATATAATATTTTATCCTTTTCAAATATTTGTTGACCCGATTGGTATCATACTTAACAGTTGAAGAGTTAAGTGTTCAGCTGGAAGAAGAAAAAGATGATATGCGTACACTAAAACGGAAACATGCAAACAACATTAAAGTAAGTCCATATCTTTTCTGCTTTCTCTCCCACCTGCTATTGAAAATTTCATTTTGTCTTGTTTGAAGTAAGAGTGTATAAATATTTGGTTATTAATCAAGTTTTAAATAAATAACTTTGTAAAAAATGACTTTTAATTAAATAAACTTTTATCTCTTCTTTTGTGTTATAAATTTTTATGAAAATATTTTTTATATCTTCATATTTTTCCATTTTTATTTACTAGACGATATATTATTATTGCAATTGAACCCATTAATGCTTATATCTTAGAACAATGAAATTAAGAGGTTAAAATAGATTAGTTAATGTCATAATCTATAACATGTCATATCTTCTGATTTATAGAAATATTAAAAACTGTTGTTTTTTTTTCTTATGCTTAAATCAATTATTTGGAATCAAGTTCTATTTAGAAACAAAAGGCACATTTTCAATTGTTTAGGGACTCTCTGCTATGTTATGGTTGAATTTTTAAATTAATCTAGTGTTTTCTTTGCTCTTTACAGGATTTAACACGGCAACTCACCCAATCTCGGCGGAAACTTGAAACTTATGAAAATACAGGAGAGAAAGACAGCACAAGTCTTGGTTCGCGAACAAGTTCAAATGGCTCTCTGAACACATTGGACAGTAATGTTATACACCGAAATGGCAATCCTGATCAGGTAAAAGAAAAATTTGAAAGTGTGACAGCCCACAACAAAAGATCTAATTACTTTAAATTGTATTAGATTGCTAGTTTTACATCATATCGTTTTGGTGATAAGTTTGTTAAGAAAAAGATTACATACATTATAAATAAGTTGTTTTTCATTTTTGAAATATTATTGTTTTCCAAGCTTTGCACTGTAATATTTCATAGTTTTTTAACAAACTGCATAAAAAGAAAACTTTATTTTATTGAAGCTAAATAAATATCATTATTAATCATTTGAAAAAGAAGTTTTTGAGAATTTGCTTATGAAAAATATCTATACATATATATAGGTCAGTTGTCTGTATGTGTGAGTGTCTGTGTCCAGCTAAAACTAAAAAAAAACTACAATAATTAACAACAAAATAAATATAAATATATATACAGACTCATTATCACCCAAGCCAGATTTTGTGAAAAAATTATCATGATTTGTATTTATGAAGATATTTTAAAATTAAAATACATTAAAATGCATTCAAAATTCTCAGAATTAAAAAATGAAAACGAATGGCAATAATTCTTATTCTTGATTATTATTACCATTTGTTTTTAGTTTTTAATTCTGCTGATACTTTTGAAACACTATATAGGTATGTATTTTTAAAATTTCTATTCTCTTGAATTTGTTTTCACATCTATAGTAAATAAAAGTATAACTTTAAAAAAATGAATATTAAAACAACAAAGTAAATTTAAAAGAAGAATATTAAATACAATTATTTAAAAAAAAAAGTTTTTTATTTATTCAAATATTTGAGTGTGTGGGTGTCTGGCTAAAACTAAAAAAACTACAATAATTATTGACAAAATAAATACAGACAAACCTCTCATCTACTGACCCCCCCCCCCGCCCCCATCAACAGACTTTGGATGCAACAGACAAAATTTGTAGTCAGAATAAAAAAAAAATCTGCTGGAAAAAACTTTCAAATTGTCAGCAATGTATTTCAAAATTTGTGGGCTTAGCAGAATGAGTTGTATTAGTTCTCAAAGTGACCGCTTGGCAGTAGTGGCAGGCTTTTCAGTTGTAAACAAAGACTAATGTACAGTATATAAAGTATGATACATTAGTGCGTACATGAGAATGTAGCTGTGAGAAATCTATTATTTTTGTTATTTTGATTAATATGTCTATATTAAGTATATATTTATTTATGCCATATATACATGTTTAGTATTTGCATTATGATCATAACTACTGGTAGTTACTATAGTGATTTTATAACTCAAAAACAATCCCTTCCCATTTATGGACAATCGGCTTTAATGGACCACCCTTCCCCACTATTAGTCCATTGATGAGATGTTTGTCTGTATATACAAACTCAGTCTCACCCTAAAGGGCAGTTGTCTGTATATATATATATATATGTGTGTGTGTGTGTATTATTGACTTATTAATATTTTTTGGTCATCTTATGGAAAATAATTTTTTTATTCAATCTTTAAAAAATAAACTTCATTATTTTTTTTTGGTTTGTAATTAACATAAAAAAGTAAATAATTTTCAGTTAAGTTTTATTAAAACAAAAATGTATAGTGAGCCATCTAAATAAAGTAAATAAACTTAAATTAAGATATATTTAAACATATTTAATTTAATCATTTTTTCAAGCAAAACTATTATTTACTATTTATTTTGGAAGGGAATTTAGATTTTTTTTTTTTTTTTAAGTAAATAAAGTTTTACTTTCTAACATTGCATTAAAGAAGTAAACATTTCTCCATAAATTAATTTAAGTACTAACTACTTTTAAAGAGATTAGAAGCAAGATACATTGAGAATTTAGTTTTGAAAATCAATTATATCTACATTTCAAGTTATATTTGAAAAGAAAAGAAAAAAATTTATTCAAATAAAAATTAGGAGAGACAGACATGAATTACAGTCAACATTAGTCATGTTGAATATTTGTTTTACAAATTTAACTATATTTTATTTAAATTAAAGTATCTTTTTGAATAAAAAATATGCTGAGGCTCAGCTACCTAATCCCCCCCCACTTGAATATGTTATTGGTAGTGAGGTATTTTCCTAAATTTAGTTATTTTGTAACAAACCTAAAAAACAATGAAGTTTATTTTTTAAAGATTCCATAAGATGGCTGATAAATATAAAATAGTCAATAATAAATTATTATTCACAGATCTTCCAACCAATGCCAGGTATCCCCGCTAGTTAATATATGTAACAGGAAGTTGATGTTAAATTTTCACTACAAACATTAAGTTTTAGAAATGGTAAAATTTGGTTATGGTACACTTTCTAAATGACTAACTAAAACTTCTTGACAAGATAATTGTGAATTATCTATCCTTTTTAATCTAGAATTTATTTGTCCTCTTTGCAGGAATACCCAGTTATTACAGAGCAAGTTGAGGTTGACAAACAGGTTCTTATTGAAAGGATAGTGAAATTACAAAAGTCACATGCACGCAAAAGTGACAAAATTGAATTCATGGAAGACCACATTAATCATTTGATTGATGACATTCAAAGAAAAAAACGGTAACTATTACTGAACATAACTTAGGATCCTCTACGGCATTGCTAAAAAATAGAGCATAGTCTGATGAAAAAGACGCCAAAGTTTATGAAAACAAAATTTTATCGTCAAAATGCTTATGTTTTTATGAAGCAGATAGACCAAATTTTTTTTTTAATTATTTTTCAAAATTTTTCCATTTTTTTAGAATATTCTAAATTTTGATTTAAAAAACCTTGTTTCTCTTTGTCGCAACAAGGAGTAGTAAATAACATAGATAATTTTTAGCGCGTTTTTTTGTATTACACACATTAATTTGGAAAATCTTGCAAAAATAAAAATAATTGTCAGATGTTAATGAAACTTTCAGAAACTATTCACAGGTGATCGAAATTATTATAAATATGTTTTTTTTTATTAAAATCATGGCAGAAATATTTTTTTTTTTTATATTTATTAACACCCCCAAAACTAATTTTATGAAAAAATCTAGAAATTCGAGACCATCAGTTTTAGTGATTACAATAGTTAAAAGCACAAGGCTTTGAAGAATGCAAATCATGTTTTTTTTTGTTTTTTTTATTTGGCCAACGTACCTGAAAATCAGCTGTGAATTGTAACATACAAAACTCAATAAAACAAATATACTATTTAATTTCAAATGCTTTTATTTGTTTTTATGAATATGGACAATATTTTCTGAAAGCAAAAAATTTTTTCAATGAAAATTGAATTTTTAATACAATTATTTCTTATTTCTTTAATTTTAAAAAATTTTAAAAAATTTTTTAAATTGAATTTTTAAAAATATTTTAACATTAGTTAAAAGCACCATCAACCTTTCAAAATGTCCGCGTGAGATTGTCATTGTCTAGCGTATTGAAAATTTTTTCATTTGGGCCAATCAGATTAGCCATAGTAATTAATTCATGTAATTTTTGTGTTTATAGTCGGGCACTAATTATCAAGTACGGAAGACCAACCAGAATACAATTTAGTTGCATTATTTGAGTTCAGCATTGTTCTCCGCTGTTAAGGCCTTTACTTTTGCGAAACATGTATGGAGAAGTTAATTTGAGTTTTCAATTTCAACTGAGAAGGGTACCTACAAGTAACAGTATCATCTTATGAAATTTAACTACTGCTAAACTTTAATTTATATGATCTTATTTTTATATTAATCTCAGTTATGACATTTTTCCATAAATGAAATATCAAAATTAATAATAAAGTGAATGGAAATACAAATAACACAGTAAAAGGTAATAAATGTACATAAAATTATAGTATTTTATGTACACTTCTGATAAAATTTCATAAGAAAGGTACCTATAAATTAATTAGATACCTTTTTCTTATGAAATTTAATCTCACTATTAACAGTCTTATTTTTTAATTTCTTTGTTTTCCATAAAGCATCGTAAACGTAAAAATGAAAGCTAAGTACAAAAAAAAAAAAAATTAAAAAATTAGAGCGCTGAAAGTTTTCCTTAAAAGTAACGAGGTAAATAATTTGTTCACTTAAATAATTTCACTTCCTTCCATCCGTAGAAAGAATTATCCTCCTGTAAGTTATCTAAGCGTCATGAATGTGCCTTTCGTCAAGCGGCGCAAAAGGTTATGACCTGCTTTGTTTTATTTTCAAATTACATTTTTTCAGCACAGAAGCTAAGTTAAGCTTGGTTCAAAATATTTTAAATAAACAGTATAATTTCTGTTTTTATTAAAATCAGTTTTGAAAAAAATGATAATTGATTTTTAAAAGAATATCAAAGTCAGATTTTAATCTTTTTTATCAAATCGAAAAATGATTGAAAATGATTGATTATCTGTCCTTTTTTGACCAAAAAAAACAATATTTTTAACGAAAATTTCAGACGTACTAGGAACGATTAAAAATGTAAAAAATACCCCAAAATACTTTGATCTTTCCTCTTTAATAATAATATGAACATTAGACGATAAAATTTTGTCTTCATCAAGTTCGGCGTTTTTTTCATCATGCTATGCTCTTTTGTTTAAATTTTCGTGGAGTTACCTAACATAACTGAATATCCTTTAAAACCAATTTTAATTATAAATGTTATTAAATGCAACAAGTTGTACTCTTCAAGTTTCCTTTGCATGTTTGTATAAATTTAATTAATTACTTACTGATAATTTTCTCTTAAGCTTTGCTTCAACTTGGCAATATGTTTAATTAATTAAATAATAAGATAATTGGAGACTGCAATGAAAAAAGTAGAAATGTAAATACAATAAAAATTATAGTTTGTCTATCAGTGCCTTTCAAATCTTTGATGTTAAACATCACTTTTTTTTTTTTTAATATTGAGCTTTGATGCATTTCAGGATTATCCAGAGTTATGCCTTGAGAGAAGAAGTTGGTGTCCTCGCACCAGAATATATGGATAAAAACAAGGTATGACTCTTTAGATTTCAGTTAACAATCTCATTGTTGACTGGTTAAATGGTTGGTTTGTATGAATGCCTTCTCTTCTTTTTTCTTTTTTTTTTTTTTTAAATAAAGCCTAAGTTTTTACAATATGCCCATTATTATTACTTGTGTTTTAATAAGCAACATGTTAAAATCTGTATATAGAAAAACCTTACCTGATAATGGTCCTATTGTTTTATAGATACAAGTTTATTTAAAATAGATCTCATTTATTTGCTGTGAAACTTCCATGAAAAATACTTGTCCCAGCAGCTGATGTCTGAATATGTCACACCTGTTTTTGTATGGGAAACGACACCTGTTGTACAGATGAGTTTAAATGTTCTGAGGAATCTTCACCTTTTAGAAATCGTCTTCTATCCTGATAATGTTTAGCTTGGTTTATAGAAAACATAACTTTGGTTTCTGAATTAAAATCTCCAAGAAATTGGGTTTTAATTAAACCAATTATTGCTGTATTAGTTTATTAGATATGTATGTATATAAGTCGCGTAGACTCTCTAGTGACGCATAAGGCCACAGCCTCACTACAGTGTTGCTGCTATTGTTTCTGTAGCAAATACCTTCTTACAGAGTAGGATTGCTAGCCTCATGCCCAACTGGGTTTGAATTCATAGTTTTCTTTCTCATAGACTGGTTGCCAACCAAGGCTAGAGAGCCCAGTCTGTTCTGCTATTAATCTATAGTTGTGAGAGAAGAGATGGATTCAAAGCAAAATCAAATGCAATGACCTTGGCTGGAACTTTACATGCCAGTCCCACTTTGCACTGATAACCTCAATGCTACATATGCATCAGAGTTGATTAGATATAATGTAATATATTTATTTTTGTTGCTTCAGTATTTAAGCATCAATGTACAGGGTGTCCCAAAAGTCACATTGCAATTGGAAAAAAAAATGTACACTGATGAAATAGCATCCAGAGAAAATTTACATGACATCATTTTCCATTATTCAATCAATAAAACTTCCAAATAATATATTGTCACATACACTCTGTATTCTATAGTGAACAGTATGTTTCACTTACTTGTCTTGGTTTCATATGACCATATACATAATAGTAAATGTACTTTCTCAATAAATATTAAAAGCTACAACAGTGTAAATGTATCCTATCATTTTGTAGAAGAGGGCTCAATATTAAGGATGGTCCATACCAATAATTTCTATAAAGTTGAGTTGTTTGAAAATATAACAAAGTAAAAACTTCTAAGAACTTGAAATTATCTAATTAACTCTTTAGCATTCAACTAACACTATAAATATTGGTTCTCAATGTTCAACTTGCCATAACCTGCCCCATGTATACTCTGCCATAGTATATAATGGCATCATTGCAAATAATGCAGTAAGTCATCCAAACAGTGAGACTTTGAGAGCCAATAATTACAAGGTGGATTTGAGCATGTTGAATGATAAAGGGTTAAGACAATGCTTATAATTTGCAGATATATGAGTAACTATTTCGATGTACATGAATAATTTAAGCAATTAATAGATTTCTTTAATCTGACATTATTTCTTATTCCTGTAAATATTATTTTAGTGGATAAATGTGTGTTTTATTTCATTTTTTTTTATAAACAGTGAAATTAACATCTATCAGCCTCAATCATTCAAACACTTATTAAAGAACATGTACTTCTTGACAGGGATCGAACCTGAATTCCCTTATTCTGGGAAATCACCTTTTAGCTAAAGATAATGGCACACATGGCTAAAAGGTGGTTTCTCATAATAAGGGTATGCAGGTTCAATCCCTGTCAAAAAATACATTTTACTTAATAAGACTTTCAATAATCTAGGCCAGTAGATGTTAATTTTACTGTTAATAAAAAAAAAAGGATGTCTCCTCTAAATATATGTGCCCACTAAAATGATGTTTATAAGAAGTATACGGGAATATGATTGTGTCCAGGTTTAAAAAATGTTTCTGTGTTACTTAGTACATTTTAGTACCCATTTGTACAATCTGACTTCAGTGTATCTCTTATTTTATACTGTAACTAGAAGAGTTTACTGACTCTTTTTTTTTTCCTTGTTATATATTTAGATATGTTTCTTAAATGTTCGATATGTCAAAATGACAAATTATAAAAGCAAATATGATTACTTTTATTTTCAGTTTTATTTTAAGTGCAATATACACTAACATTCTACACCAAAATAATTATTTTTGTGATATGCAACTTTTTTTGATAAAAACTTACAACAATCATATTCTCATTAATATTTTAAAAGATAACAGTTAATGAAATTATATTTTATTATATGTAATGAAAATATTTTCCTATTATTTACTTGAATAAACTTTTTGATTGGTGATAAATCCCTATTCTAAAAATAATAGTTGATACATTTGTATACACATTTTATACACTAAATGTAGCAACTATTATGGGACAGAGGTAATATGGCTTAATTCATGTTTCTTAATATTTTTTAAATTTGCTCATTTCTTAATATTTATTACTACTTCTGTCTTATAATGCTTGCTACATTTGTATACACATTTTATACATTAAACATAGCAACTATTATGGGATAAAGGTAATATGATTAAATTCACCAGTTTCTTAATATTTTTATCAATTTACCCATTTCTTGATATTTATTACTACTTCTGTCCTATTACATTTGCATATACATTTTATACACTAAATCAAGGGTCACAAACTCAAGGGCACAAAAGGGTTATTATGTAATGAGGGAGAGTTGCAGGGAGCCGCAAATGCTATACATGAGTTCCCAATCAAAGGGTCTGCAGACTCCCAAGGAGATAGATTCCCAACCAGGGATGCACTGACCAATGAAACCGAATTAAATTAGCTTGGTAATTTTGGGCAATAGGAAATCTTAAGGGAGGTGGACAGGTAATATTTTGCATGTATTCCAGTCAATTATGCTTATTAAATACCTCTTTAAAAAATCAAAATTATGAATAACTTTTAAAAAGAATCATCAATTCTCAAAAGGCAAAACAATCCCACATTTTGCAGGATGGTTAGCAACCCTATTTACCTCTGTCTTAAAATACAAATATTCCTACTTTTCATGAAAAGTTTAGTTCTACTCAGCAATTTTGTTTTTCTTTAATATTGTTGACTTTTCTTTTTTTTTTTTTTCAATTATATAGTTGACCAAAAACAAGTCTCTTTGAAATTTCTGTTTATTTAACAATCTCTCAATCTTCTTTCTAACATGATTTGCTATTGTTTGTGTTATTTCTCTTTTACCTCATGTACCTCGTCCACTAATACCCTTGGGAAAGGTATGAATCCTCTTCTTCTCCCACCAGCTTTGGGTTAATAGCAAGACAGACCAGATTCTATAGTCTTGGTTGGCAACTGATCTACCATAGAAAGAAATGACAACCTACTGCAGGGAAAACATCTGCCTCGTCAGTCATGTATTGAAATATACATGATTGCCTAAGCGTATATCACGCATAACACATAACTGACTAACCTCCTCCACCCCTAAATTCTTGCTCTCATTATGAAAAAAATTCCCCATTTTCTATGGTGATTGTCACCTCTTGTACCCCCACCACCCAATTATGTTATCAAATCTATTCCTTCTCGCTCTGAAAAAAAAACCTCATTTTCTGTTGCACATGTAGTCTCTCTGTTGTCTTAGCTACACCCTGACACCAATATATGTAACCAAATTTACCCCTTTTCATCTTATAAACAAATATTTTCCTTCCTCATATCTGAGTTGTATTGCATCTTAATTACCCCTCCACCGTCATGCTCATATTCTTATCAAGACTGTTTATTTCAATGTATATAGAAATTTGGTGCTTATCTCTGATTTCATTTATATTAGTTGTAAATTGATTTCTTATGAAATTAGAAAAAAAGAGACCCAGACATTGTTGCAAAGTACATTTGTACTCTCTCATAAGGTATGTGATGGTGGGGGAGGTCGGGTTTTCTTCCCTTCATTAAGAGGAATGAGAATAGACTTTGTTGACCTTAAAATTGACTGTTTGCACTTTGTAGGTAGGTCAAGCTCACTACTATTACTGCAAAAACATGGAATGAGGTGAGGGCATTGCATTCTATATTAGAATATAGTACACCATGGAGGAGAGTCAAATTTATTAAAATTTGAAGAAAATATTGTTCACAAATATAACATCTCACAGGTCGCAGAAATGTTAAAACTTATGAAATAAAGGTAGTCAAAAAAAATTAGCACTTTAGATGTTCTGTAATCATTTTAAGACTATCTGACATGAATCCATGTACTAATAACTCTTTAATACAAATGAATATTCAGATATTTTTATAGTATTTTTCTGGTAGATTATAAAAATAAAATCAATAATAAAAGAAAAAGAAAGCTCTTCTGATGTTCATTGGTATTGGCTTTAGACTGCTACAATGAAAATTGACAACTTTCATTATGAAGTAAATATGCTTGTATGTTAGTTACTAGTGAATGAATTAACTTCAAAGTAGCTGTCTACTCCCCCCCCCCGCCTTCACTCTTTCAGAATATCTTATCAAATAGAGACATTACTGTACTTCTCTTTGGGAAAAAATCTAACACAATACTTAGTCTCACATCTAACAAAAATTCTGTTAATACATTAAATGTAAAATTCCTGAAAGATCTGTGTAAATTTTTATTCTCAACATAATGCATTGACTTTTCTTGAAATATATTGCTGTGAAAAAATCCATTTGTTTAAAATTAATAGAAAATATTAATGACTAAAACAAAAAAAATGATTTAAAAAATTAAACAATTTCTAATTTGTACAATTTTTACTATAACTGTTTTTCAAAATTGATTCTCCAAATCCCCCTTCTTTAAGAAACTGAACACATTATCATTGTTTCATGAATCTTAGCTAAAAGAAAAAACATTTGTGTTTATATTATGAAAAATTTATTTTAATATTGCTTTTATATTAACATGCATCTGATATGTATCATATTTCTGTATC